TATGGAAGGCGATATTTACGAGCGACAAATCGCCTACCACGAATTTTTCACGATTTCTCGTCAGCAAGTCCTCGCCAACTGGCAACAAAAGTGGAATGATGGTGATCTGGGAAGATGGCTACATTCTATTGTCCCACAGGTGTCGATCAAACCCTGGTTCAAAGGGTTGGATATGAGTCGTGATTTTATTCGTGTAATGTCCAGGCTCATGTCCAATCACTGTTCGTTAAACGCCCACCTCTTCCGTATTACGCTCGCCGACAGCAACTTATGTACCTGTGGAAACGGTTATCACGACATCGAGCATGTTGTTTGGTCCTGCTCCTTGCATTATGAGGCGAGATCCGTTCTGTGTGATTCCCTTAGGGTCCGAGGAAAACAACCCTTTAAGCCAATTAGAGACGTCTTGGCTTGCCGTGATATCGACATTATGAAGCTTATTTACGACTTTCTTAAAGCTGTTGATGTATGTGTTTAGTGTTTTGTGTTTTAGTCATCCTTTACGTTTAAGTTTTAAATTAGTTCTAAATGCTTTCCCTTGTCCTACCTCCAAATGATCAATAAATGTAATCCCTAATCTCGAGTAAACCGCGAGTAATCGGCCCCCGTTCTACTAACATTAGTTGTAAGAAAATGATATTCACACACAATAATGTAAAAAAAAAATTTGGCTCCGCAAAGCTAACGCATTTGAGCCTTGACAAATAAATGGATTATAAAAAAAAAAAACACAATGGCACTGATATCCATGTTGGTAGTATGGAAGCGTGGAAAAATTTCACGGGAAGGGTATCGGACCACCAAAAAACAGCTATGATTGCTGCTAGAGAGGCAAAGCGGCTACAGAATCGCTCTATAATGGAACTTTTCATCGATATTGTGCGCATACTTTGCAAAGGTGGCCGATCACTTCGTAGACATTCGGAAGGAGCGGAAAGTGTGTCACCCAGTTGGTGGCTAACTACGATCCTGTGCTGGAAAATCACTTGGCGGAAGGTGCCAAAAATAGCCAGTACACAAGTACCGCACGCTATGTCTGAAGGCACTATTTTTGCAATATTCATGTACCTCAGATTTTTCTTCACAGGATGTTAGTGTTGATCCTAACAATCAAATTTGAGATGGTTTTAAAATATTTCATCTTGGGTTTTTTGAGAAAACGTGTTTTTAAGTTTACAGAGGCGATTATCAAGACGCATATGGAATATGTACTATACAAAACAATAATGAATTAATAAAAGCAGTTAAATAAGGTTCAAAAATTGATTGAATTAATTTAAATGGTATTAACGAAGTTCTCTTTGTAAGTAAGATCCATATTTATTATGACGACTTTGCGCAAAATCATTTTATATTTATTGGTAGCACAACATCTTATTTAATTTCTCTTTCCTCATGAGAGTAAAAGAAAAAGAAACGAGTAGGACAGTTCGTGACAGCCACGTAATTAGAGATGGGCGATCCGCTCCCGAGCAGTTCTATAGACCCGATTCTCTAAAGGGAGCTGATGACCCGTGGTTCATTTTTTAGGAACCGCAGCTCATCAGCTCACTATCTAAACCTAAACACAAGTCTAAACCATTCAATCCATCAATCATAGCGGAACTTTTCAAATAAGAACTCATTACTCCACTTACGCATTGTGCCTACTGATCGACAGCACCAATGGTAAAAGCAAACTTCCAAGCGGCTGTTTGGGAGAGAGAGACATAGTATGCACATGTGCTACCCGATGTTAATTTTCTACTGGTATTATCCAATTTATTTATGTACCCAGCTCTTATTGCTGATGTTATTCCTCCAGCATATGTGCTCTCACCTCTCCTCCCATCATTCTCTGGGGGAGCGGAAGATCCGCACAAAACAAATAACCGAAAAGCGAAATGCAGCTCTCCAGCTTATCAGCTCAGCTCCGGATCCGAATCATTTACTCGAATAATTCACTGGGAGCTGTTGACAACTCTCTTACCCGTCCAGCTCTTCGGATCTTTTTCTCTCTCTCGATTCTTCACGATTCAGCTCCGGATCCGGATCTGAGCTGATGAGCTGTAGCTGAAGCCGATAATAGTGAGAGAAATTCTGCTGGAGAATTAATATCAGAAATAAAATCTGTATGTAGACTGGATAGCATAGCTTGAGAAAAGGCGTAACATCGTGTGTCACGATGTGGATCATATCATCGCGTGTAGCTCTCTCGCATACATTTTTTGCTTTTACTGATATGTTGTTGGCACATTTTGCTCATATTTTGGTTTACGCGATGGTTGATCAGTTGTTGCGTTATTGGCGTTTTCCATTGAAAAATATTGCCATATTATAAGGTACGGATTTATTGGTTTAGACTACTTTTTCGATTTTATGCAGTTTTATGCACTAAAACCACAAATTAATTTTCCGATTTTGAATTTCCGTCATAATTTCTATAATTTCAATGTGAGCTGAAGAGCTGTTCAAAAGAATCGAGTCCGTTTAGTTAGCTGGATGAGTTTGATCCACTCAGCTAGATGCGCTGTTTTGGCCACTTCTACACGTAGTCATAGTAGGCATTGGTTTTCGTCCTGTTTCGAGTGTTTTTTTTTTATAGATGTATCGTGTAGAAAATCTGAAAGAGAATTGCTGAGAGAATTGCAGAATTGCTAGAGCTTCATTGCAGTTCCCATATTTTGTCTAAGGAAACTTTCAGGAAGGTGCAGTGAATTTCTAGTAAATTATGCGAACTATAGGGATCTGTAATGAATATAAGGAAAGTTCTGCAAACTTTAAAGCAGTTCTTTCAAAGAAGCAACGAAATTCAACAACTTTCAGAGAAACTCATTGAACATCAGGGAAGCTCTACAAACTTCAGGAAAATTCTTCAAACTTGAAAGATGTGCTTCGATCTCCAGAGGAGAAGTTCTATAAACTTCAAAAAAATTATGCGAACTTCAGGGACGTCTTGTGAGCTTCAGGGGAGTTCAATGTCCTCCTGGTAAGTTCAACGAACTATAAGAGAGTTCTGTGAACTATAGCAACATTATATGAATTTCAATTATGCTCTGCAAGAAGTTCTTTAAACGTGAGGAAAATTTTGCAAACTTTAGGATGGTCTGTAAACAACAGGGAACATTTAATAACATTAGGAAAGTACTGTAAACTTTAAGAAATATCTGATAATTTCAAGATAAAAATGCCAACTCATAGTCGTTCAAAGAACATCAGGAACGTTAGAAGAATTTCATCGAAGTTCAACGAAATCAAGGAAAAACTTATGAACAGGGCATTGAATTTGAATGTAACTTCCATTAGCTGTCTCATCGGGTCGTCGGTGAAACAACTCTCACTCCATGTCTTTGAAACCAGGTATAATAGAGAGAATTTCTTGCGATACCTCTTTCTCTTCTACGCTTTCCTTGTGAAATGTGATCGAAGGCATGAGCAAAACAATCAATGTTTTTTAATTTTTTTAAATATCATTAAATGTTTTCTTACAGTTGTTTCTTTTTACCTTTCATTACCTAATATTTTGATCTTTAAAATCGGCCTAGTCGTTCAAAAGTTAAAAGTTTTTGAAAAAAAGTCATTTTTGAAAAAAAAAATCGGTTTTTGGACCACCCTTACGTTGAAATGGTCACCCTAATGACAACATAAATAAAAATTGTGATAAGAAACAAAACTACAATTTTTTACCATTTTCTGAAAACCACAATATCGTTTTGCTATGGAATCGCGGAATAATAGTAAATTTAGGGACTAAACAATTGTTCAATGATTTTATTATTAAATTTAAACATTATGAAATCCTGACAAAGCTAAGTTATCTGACGGTACCGAAGAAGAAATCTTACTGTATCATTGAAACTTAATATTTTGACTACTTCAATCCCATTTTGAATCATTTTCAGCTGAATTTATTTCGATTCGTACCAGTTGTGGATCGTCAAAAGTCCATATACGCCTTCATAAACGGCTAGGTATACTTCAAAATACTTTTTCTCAAAAAACCCAAGATGAACTATTTTAAAACCTTCACAGATTTGATTGTTAGGATCAATATTAACTTCCTGGGAAGATAAAATTGAGGTACATGAAAGTTGCAAAAAAAGTGCCTTCAGACATACCGTGTACCGTATTCAACAGTAGGGAAATAGTGGGAGGTGGACAGCACTATACACCACGCACTTTGGAGTACTCCCCATCCCCAGATTAAATGCACCATAGAAAAAAAATGCCCCTCCTTAACCAGATTCATGTGCACGCTAGTGATTTAAACTGTTCTTAATATCCCAGTAAAATTCAACTGAGAACTTTCATATGTGTGGATGAATTGAACTGATAATATTAACTAATAGCCCCATGGTTCAAAACATGTTTCAATGAATCAAAATGTCCTTTCACAGCAGTTTGAGAAAATTGAGAAGTGTTTCTACAAAATGTTATCAAGCTGCTGCGTAGCTTATTGCATTTCATTACCTTCTATGAGTCTAGTTGTGTGTTGGCAGCATTGACAAATTTCAATATTCACAAGAGACATGTTTCATGCGATAAAAGATTACCAAGTGTAAAGAAGTAAGTGTACAAAGATATCCATTCGATAGGGATAGTATTCAAAAGAGGGGTCCTAATCTCAACTGGTCTACCTGTTCCTGCAGAGGTATCGATCGTCCTGAACCTGAACACTTCTTCGCCTAGAGAGAAAAATAGAGAAACTAGTGGGGGGAGGAAAGATTTCCGAACACTGTGTAGAACCCTTCGCTTTCACTCCTAGTAGAACCACCACAGAACAATAGACCTGTCCCGCCTTCCTTTAGCTTTCTCCTAATAAACCACAATTTCCATTATTTACACCGATATGACAGAGCAGCTGTCGAATTGGTGAAAATGGTGGAAAATTGACAATTTTTTTTTGTTCATGACGGGACAGCCCTATTACGATAAATGCAGTCAACCTTGACAACGATTCGATTGTTTTTCTTCGTATGTAAAACATAAATAGGGTGGGGCACCGTCGCGTTCCGCATTACCTTCGCTTGCGCTTCCTTGGCCAGGCGTTCCTCCTTGGCCTTGAGCATCCGCAGCCGCTGGAACAATGGCAAACCGGCCCCGATCATTTCCGGTTCCGGTTCTTCCTGTATCGATTCCTGCGGTGATATGGCAGAGGTTACGTGAGTATGCGGCGGTGAGATTATTTGTGCGGTTGTTGTGGTGGAGGTGGTAGTTGCGCTGGCGGACGCTTTCGCGGCACGCTCTTCGCGGTCCTTTGATTGTTTGAATTGTATTTATTTGATTGTTTGTATTGATATAATGTACAATTTTGGCGATATGATTCGGCGACGGACGATCGTAGTTGGATTTTTTTTTATTTTTACAAGGTTTTATCGTACATTGATTGTGGTACACGGTTCGGGATTTTTGAGATATTTTCAATTTTTATTTTGGTGGTGGTTGTGGTGGTTATTTGTGGGGTACACGTGCATTTTACACACACATAGAAATAAAGAAAAAGAGAGAAAAGAAAAGAAAACGTTCTAATTTCTAAAATACTATCGATATATACAATTTAAGAGGATTTACACATTGATCAAAAGTGTATGTACTTCAATGCGGTGAGCTTTGTTGGTGTGTTCATGTGTGTAGGCGTGGTGGTGTGATCGATGGGTCCTAGCTAACACTATTCTGGAGTTTGAGTTTAGAGTTTTTGATTGGTGTGGTTTTTTTTTATTTATTGGAGGGAGTATTCAGCGCAAAGCGGGTAAGCTACGAATGCTCCAACGTAAACTCAATAGTTAAACCAGCGGTGTTGGGAGGTTTTAGGCGAGGATTCAAATCCTCAAACAAGTACAGGTAACTGACACATATATAGCGCCACACGGGGAATACTGTTTTGTTGGTGTGAGTGTGAGTAAACTCTAGGATGACTGTGGCCTAACGGAAGCTGCTTTGATAGTTGTATGCACAGATGAAATGCTGCACCCAAAATCGACTGTGAGTTCGTGGAAAATACTGAAAAGAACCTTGTACAACCCTTTCAAATTTAGCGACTAGCGTTGAGGATTTCATAAAGCATAAGGGTTTCAAGTCCCTTAATTTAGATGTGAACAGTTTTTGTTGATGGCCGATTTTCGTAACGGCAGTCAAGGTGGATACTCTGAAATCTAAGATATCGTGCTCCGGATCATGCAAATAAGATATTAATTCTATAGGGCAGGTTGATTTTCGAAAAAAAAGGCACGTAGTGAGAAAAGATGTAAAACTGTCTTATAAACACTCCCTGAAAAGTTTCAGAATTTTAAGGCAAATGTAAATCTAATTTTCTCAGTATGGGGAAAATCACATTTCTGGAGTGAGGTGTAAATACAGTATAATATATAACATCGTGATTTTTGTTTCGTTCAGAAAAAGTGAGCTGTACTGGCGTTTCAATGATCAATATTATGACTACAAATGTGCTAAATTTCAGTGGAGTCAATTTATTGTACTTTAAGAAATAATAGTTAGAAAAAGGGCAATCAAATAAGTAATGTTTTTTTCTAGAATAACTCAACCTTCTGCATACTCATTTAGTCATGGCCAAAAATAAACCAATAGACTTTGAATAATAGATCAACCCAGCCGCCAAAATTTGAGAAATATTGAGAAACATCCTGAATAGTTACATCTCGTTGAACTTTTTGTGAATGAATAAAAATAATGATGTTAAATATCCTGATGAATGTGGGCGTCTTAGTGGAATACCTGTATAATGAGAGAGAGAGAAGGATTAGTATTTTCCATTTAATTCCACTACTTTATTTGCTTATCCTTGACAGATACGCGTATTTCGTCTACAATGTGCAGACTTCTTCAGTGTCTTGTACTAATACTCGACTGTTAGTACGAGTATTAGTACAAGACACTGAAGAAGTCTGCACATTGTAGACGAAATACGCGTATCTGTCAAGGATAAGCAAATAAAGTAGTGGAATTAAATGGAAAATACTAATCCTTCTCTCTCTCGATGTTAAATACTTTTGTCCGGTACTGTAAGTAGTTTCTTCAAATACAAAAAAAAAAACCTGACATTTTTTTTCCTTGATTTGTTTTCCGTCGATCTTGTTTTCCGTGCTGAGCACCAATGCTACCGACGCCAGGGAGGCAGCTTCTACACCTGAACCCTACCTATCGACCCATCATCAACTCATGAACCGGCGACCAACGGCTTTACTTCCCTTCCGAAGGAAGACGTGATCAGAGATGTTATGCCTCATAACAACCCGGCGGCGCCGACTGGGATTGAACCCAGGTCTGCTGGGGTGAGAGGTAATCACGCTTACGACTACACCACCGGTGCCGTTATTTGGACTGGCTACTCGTGATCATATTTGCTGAAAAATGTATTTCAATTGAGCTTATAAAATGTTATTCAATCCTGAACATGCGCTTTCGAATCTCACATTTATTTAGAGAAAGAGAGTTCCACGCCATTAACGATGCGTGAACTTTGCAGCCTCTCGAGGAATGGTAGTTTTCAAGAACCTTTTCCCCCCGCAAGGATATCCACAAAGCCACATGGAGATTACCTGACCAACACACAGAAAACCAAATCGATCCCGTTCTAATCGACGGGAAATTCTTCTCCGACATTATCAACGTCTGCACGTTCCGCGGTGGGAACATAGATTCGGACCACTACCTAGTTGCAGTATGCATGCGCTCAAAACTCTCGACGGTACATAACACCCGCCGAAGTCGAACGCCACGACCCAACATTGAGCAACTACGGGACGCCGGAGTTGCCCAGGACTACGTGCAGCAGCTGGAAGTTGCACTACCCACGGAAGAGCAGCTTGGCGCAGATTCTCTTGAAGATGGCTGGAGGGATATCCGTTCCGCTATAGGTAGTACTGCTGCAGTGGCATTAGGTACTCCAATCCCGGATCGAAGAAATGACTGGTTTGACGGCGAATGCAAACTGTTAGTAGAGGAGAAGAATGCAGCACGGGCGAGAATGCTGCAACACCGCACGAGATTGAATGTGGAGCGATACAGACAAGCGGGGAACAGACAAAACTCGGTTTTCCGAAGGAAGAAGCGTCAGCAGGAAGACCGAGATCGCGAGGCGATGGAACATCTGTACCGCGTAAACGACACACGGAAGTTCTACGAGAAGCTAAATAGTTCGCGCAAAGGCTACGTGCCGCAAGCCGATATGTGCAAGGACTTTAACGGTAACCTTCTCACGACCGAGTGTGAGGTGATTGAGAGGTGGAAGCAGTACTATGACGAGCACCTCAACGGTGAAGCAGCAGAAAACGAAGGTGGCACGGCAACATACCTTGGAGCACGCGCAGAAGACGACAGGCTACCGGCTCCTGATCTTCAAGAAGTTGAGGAGGAGATCGGTCGCCTGAAAAACAACAGGTGTAGATCAACTACCAAGTGAGCTATTGAAATACGGTGGTCAAGCACTGGCTAGAGCGCTGCACTGGGTAATTGCCAAGATTTGGGAGGAGGAGATATTACCGGAGGAGTGGATGGAAGGTGTCGTATGCCCAATCTACAAAAAGGGCGACAAGTTGGATTGCTGCAACTACCGCGCGATCACACTGCTGAGCGCCGCCTACAAGGTACTCTCCCAAATTCTATGCCACCGTCTGTCACCATATGCAAGAGAGTTCGTGGGGCAATACCAGGCGGGTGCTCGGGCAGTACCATGGGTGCCCGCGCTACCACGGATCAAATTTTCGCGATTCGGCAGGTTTTACAGAAATGCCGCGAATACAACGTGCCCACACATCATTTGTTCATCGATTTCAAATCCGCATACGACACAATCGATCGAGATAAGCTATGGCAGATTATGCACGAGTACGGATTTCCGGATAAGCTGATGCAATTGGTCGAGGCGACGATGGATCGAGTGATGTGCGTTGTTCGAGTATCGGGGACACTCTCGAGTCCTTTTAAATCTTGAAGAGAGTTACGGCAAGGTGATAGACTTTCGTGTCTGCTATTCAACATCGCATAAAAAGGTGTGATCAGCTGGGATAGACACGAGTGACACGATCTTCAGGAAGTCCATCCAGCTTCTTGGCTTCGCCGATGACATTGACATCATGGCACGGAACTTTGAGACGATGGCGGAAACGTACATCAGACTGAAGGCTGAAGCTAGGCGGATTGGACTTGTCATCAACGCATCAAAGACAAAATACATGAAAGGAAGAGGTTCTAGGGAAGACAATGTTAGCCTCCCACCCCGAGTTCAGATTGACGGTGACGAAATCGAGGTGGTCGATGAGTTCGTGTATTTGGGCTCACTGGTGACCGCCGAAAATGATACCAGCACAGAAATTCAAAGACGCATTATGGCAGGGAATCGTGTCTATTCTGGACTCCGGAGGACGCTCCGGAGGACGCTCCGGTCGAATAAAATTCGCCGCCGCACGAAGTTGACTGTCTACAAGACGCTGATTAGACCGGTGGTCCTCTACAGCCACGAGACCTGGACTATGCTCGTGGAGGACCAACGCGCCCTTGGTGTTTTCGAACGAAAGGTGTTGCGTGCCATCTACGGTGGAGTGCAGATGGATGACGGAACGTGGAGGAGGCGAATGAACCACGAATTGCACCAGCTACTGGGAGAACCATCCATCGTCCACATTGCAAAAATTGGGCGACTACGGTGGGCTGGGCACGTCGTAAGAATGCCGCACGACGACCCAGTGAAAATGGTTCTAGAAAGCGACCCAACAGGAACAAGAAGAAGAGGCGCGCAGCAGGCAAGGTGGATCGACCAAGTAGAAGGCGACCTGCGGACCCTTCGCTGACGACGAGGCTGGCGAAGTGTGGCCATAGATCGAGTAGACTGGAGACGACTTCTTCGGACAGCAGAGGACAACAAGGCCTTAGCCTGATTGGTAAGGGAAGTAAGAGTTCCACGCCAAATGACGATTAGAAAAAACTCGACCTACTCCGATTTGCATGAATTTGCCTAATTGTTTGTTATGGGCAATAATTACATATTTTTTCTGAAATTCGGTCATTTTGGATCTGGTAAAATTTTCTATTGGCGTCTTTGAAATTTTTCATAAAATTGTAGCATAGAAATGGCAAGTATGGACTTTTCTTCTCCTTAAAAGTTCCTGCAGTTTTCCGGAAGCTAAAGGAAAAACCAATGAAACTCTGAATTATCGGAACTTACCCGTAAAGATCTTTGAACTTACCCAAAAATCTGAACTTGTCTGAAGTTACACAGCTTCTTAAAAGTTCATGAAGT